GCTCGCTGCGCTCGCCTCGGGCCTCGCTCGCCTCGCCTTGCTCGCCTCGGCTCGGCCTCGCCTCGGCCTCGCCTCGCCTCGCCTCGCCTCGCCTCGGCTCGCCTCGCCTCGCTTCGCTCGCTCGCTCGCTCGCCTCGCCTCGCCTCGCTCGCTTCGCCTCGCCTCGCTCGCTCCGCTCGCCTGCGCCTGCTCGCCCTCGCCTGCGCTCGCCTCGCTCGCTCGGCTCGCGTCGCTCGTCTCGCCTCGCCTCGCCTTGCCCTCGCCTCGCCTCGCCTCGCTGCGCCTCGCTCGCCTCGCCTCGCCTGCTCGACTCGGCCTGGCCTCGCCTCGCCTCGCCTCGCCTCGCCTCGCCTCGCTCGCCTCGCTCGCTCTGCCTCGCCTCGCTCGCCTCGCTCGCCTCGCTCGCCTCGGCCTCGCTCGCCTTCGCCTCGTCGCTCCTCGCCTCGGCCCTTCGCTCGGCCTCGCCTTCTTTCCTCGCTCGCCTCGGCTCGCCTCGCCTGCTCGCCTCGCTCGCTCGCCTCGCTCGCTCGCCTCGCTCGCCTGCCTCGCCTCGCTCGCCTCGCCTCGCTCGCCTCGCCTTCGCCTCGCCTCGCCTCGCCTCGCCTCGCCTGCGCTCGCTCGCCTGCCTCGCCTCGCCTCGCCTCGCCTCGCCTGCTCGCCTCGCTCGCCTCGTCGCTCGCTCTCGCTCGCCTCGCCTCGGCCTCGCCTCGCCTTCGCCTCGCCTCGCCTGGCCTCGACCTCGCTTCGCCTCGTCCTCGCCTCGCCTCGCCTCGGCCTCGCCTCGCCTCGCCTCGCCTCGCCTGCGCAATCGCCCTCGCCTCGCCTCGCCTCGCCTCGCCTCGCCCTCGCCTCGCCTCGCCTCGCCTCGACCTCGCCTTCGCTCGCCTTTCGCCTCGGCCTCGCCTGCCTCGCCTCGGCTCGGCTCGCCTCGTGCCTCGCCTCGCCTCGCCTCGCTGCCTCGCCTCGCTCGCCTCGCTCGCCTCGCCTCGCCTCGCTCGCCTCGCCTCGCCTGCCTCGCTCTCGCCTCGCTCGCCTCGTCCTCGCCTGCTCGCCTCGCCTGCCTCGGCCTCGCCTCGGCCTCGCTGCGCCTCGCCTCGCCTCGCTCGCTCGCTCGCCTCGCTCGCCTCGCTCGATCGCCCTCGCCTCGTCTCGCCTCGCTCGCCTCGCTCGCCTCGCCGTCGCCTGCCTCGCCTGCGCCTCGCCTCGCGCTGCTCGCCTCGCCTCGCCTCGCCTCGCTCGCCTCGCCTCGCCTCGCCTGCCTCGCTCGCTCGCGCTCGCTCGCTCGCCTGCGCCTCGCCTCGCCTCGCCTGCGCTCGCCTCGCCTCGCCTCGCCTCGCTCGCCTCGGGGGCTCGCCTCGCCTCGCCTCGCCTCGGCTCGCCTAAAGGGCCTCGCCTCGGCCTCGCCTCGCCTCGCTCGCGCGCCCCGCCCGCCCGCCCCCGCCCCGCCCCGCGCCGCCCGCCCCGCCGCCCCGCCCGCGCCCCGCCCCCCCGCCGCCCCGCCCCGCCCCGCCCGCCCCGCCCCGCCGCCCCGCCCGCCCCGCCCCCGCCCCGCCCCGCCCCGCCCGCCCGCCCCGCCCCGCCACGCGCCCCCCGGCCCGCCCCGCCCCGCCGCCCGCCCGCTCGCCCCGCCCGCCCCGCCGCCCGCCCGCCGCGCCCCGCCCCGCCCCGCCCGCCCGCCCCGCCCGCCGCCCGCCCCGCCCCGCCGCGCCGCCCCGCCGCGCCCGCCGCCCGCCCCGCCCGTGCCCCGCCCCGCCTGCCGAAACGGGCCCGCCCCGCCTCGGCGCCGCACGGGGCCCGGCCCGCGCCGCACCGCGCGCCCGCCCGCCCCGCCCGCCCGGCCCCGCCCCGCCCGCCCCGCGCGCCCCGCCCCGCCCCGCCGCCCCAGCCGGGCCCCACGCCCGCCCCGCCGCCCGTCCGCCGCGCCCGCCCCGCCCCGCCCGCCCCGCCCGCCCGCCCCGCCCGCCCCGCCCCGCCCGCCCGGCCCGCCGCCCGCCCCGCCCCGCCCGCCCTAAACCGAAGGTGACGATACCGCTACTAGCTCCGCGCCGACTCATCGGCCACCACCTGTTTCGGCGTTACAGGTTATCGAGCGGAGTGATACAGGAGCCCGCCCCGCCCCGGCCGCCCCGGCCCCGCCCCCCGCCCGCCCGGCCGCGCGGGCCCGCCCGGGCCGACCGCCCGCCGCCCCGCTCCGCCCGCCCCGCCCCGCCCCGCACCGCCCGCCCCGGCCGCCGCCCGCCGCCCAGCGCGCCCGCTACGCCCCGCCCCGCCCCGCCCAGCCCCGCCCGCCCGTGCAGCCCAATCCGCCCGCCGGTCCTCCGTTGCTCGTTGGCTGCCACGCGCCATCCCTGCCATCCCTGGCCACCCTCACCAACTTCGCACCGTCGCGGCCGTTCTTTATGTCTGTTTTCTATACCCCTCCCGTTCAATCATGGCCCACTTCCCACAGCCAATCTCGCAGTATCCCGCAAGCATTCCAGCTCGCTTCGACGCTACGTATAGCTAGATGCATTGCGGATTTGCATTAAAAAACCAAATTACGACACAACGCATAAACTTCATTGATGGAATTGTTAGACGATAATATCGCGTAAAGACGCTCTTTTGCCCCATTTTCCCACATTTTAATGCAGTAATTTAAATATTCACCTGCCCCCTCCCGCTCCCTGCATTTTTGTTATATCAAGTTTATATAGCATTAGTATACAATTTCATGAAAATTGGATTACTTGTTGCACGTTTTTCTTCTGGAGAGAGAGAGACAGACGACAGACAGAGAGACAGACAGACAGAGAGACAGAAGACAGAGAGACAGACAGCACAGAGAGACAGAACAGACAGAGAGACAGACAGAGAGACAGACAGACAGAGGAGGACACGACAGACAGAGAGACCAGAACAGACCAGAGAGAACAGAGAGACAGACAGACAAAGAGGACAGACAGACAGAGAGACAGACAGACAGAGAGACAGACAGACAGACAGACAGGCAGACCAGACGAGAGACAGGCAGACAGACAGAGAGACAGGCAGGCAGACTAGTAGAGACAGGCAGACAGACAGACAGACAGAAGAGGCAGACAGACAGGCAGACAGACAGCGCAGACGACAGAGAGAGGCAGACAGACAGAGAAGACAGAACAGACAGAGAGACAGACAGCAACAGAGAGACAGCAGACAGAGAGACAGACAGACAGACAGAGAGGACAGGCAGGGCAGACGAGAGACAGGCAGGCAAGACAGGAGAGACAGGCAGGCAGACAGAGAGACACGGGCAGACAGACAGAACGAACAGACAGACGAGAGACGACGAGAGACAGACAGACAGAGAGACAGAAGACAGAGAGACAGACAACAGAGAGACAGACAGACAGAGAGACAGACAGACAGAGAGACAAGACAGACAGAGAGACAGACAGACAGGGAGAACAGACAGATCAGGCAGACAGACAGAGACAGACAGGCAGAAGACAGACAGACAGGCAGGGACAGACGAGAGACAGGCAGGACCAGACAGAGAGACAGGCAGGCAGACAGAGAGACAGGCAGACAGACAGACAGACGAGAGGCAGACAGAACAGGCAGACAGACAGGCAGACAGACAGAGGAGAAGGCAGACAGACAGAGAGACAGACAGACAAGAGAGACAGACAGCAGAGAGACAGAACCGACAGAGAGAAGGCCAGGCAGATCAGAGAGACCAGACAAGGCCAACAGAGAGACAGACAGACAGACAGACAGACAGAGGGCGGGAGGGAGGGAGAAAGAGAGATATTAATTTTTGATAGAAAAAAATATGAAAATGATGATGAAATATTACAATTGTTCATCACAAAATTAATTACATTTTGAATCTGAAAATTTCGTCATCAGATGAAAGTTTCTTTGCATAAAGAAGGTAGTTCTTTGCCTCTGAGACTGTCACGAGTGTGACAGATATAATCATAAACACACATGTGACGGCGAAGGATATTGCGGTTTTGCGATAAAGAGTTTCGGGACAAACGTGGTTACTTATCAGTACAGTCAGTTTCTTGCTCAGAGGAGCTCGATATGAGAAATCTTACCTGGGGCTGAGCTATCGAATATACTGCAGAATAAATTGGTAATATTATGTATTAAAAATGTGAAATGTGAGGTGTCAATACTTTTTTCCTTTAATCTAACTCTATAATATTTTAAGCATCAATTTCTTTATGATTCAAAAGTATCGACAAGATTCTAAACCAATAGTGATTAATTTGATTTAACGTGATCTTTCTCATCTTGTCGTTGACTGGAAGTTAGTGAGAAGAACTCTCAGCTCTAACTTGTGAGAAGAAAATACATTATTTATTCACTACGCACTGCTATCGTATTTGCCACAACTATTTCACTCGATGCCCACAACTATTTCACTCGAGCAGGAAATTTTGTTTCTACATACTATGAAATTATCTTTCGGTATCTAAAAATTGCTCACGATCGTTCTGCTGTCACACAAATCTTCGTTCTTATCTACATTAGTAGACCGGAAATGCATGCAATTACTTATTTCTTATACATTTAACCCCAAATTTGAGCTCATACGCCCATTCTAGGGTAAATGAATTAAACGAAGGCACCTTTTTTTCTCACGAAACAGCCAATTGCTCACATACGCGCGCACACACACATGTAAATGTGGACAGGTGCACACACTGTCTCACTCACTCACTCACTGACACACACACGGTTAGAGAGACACACTCTGTCCCATACACCTGCCACCTCACTCGGTCCACATTCTCCACCACACGTATTTGCACACGTGAGGCGTTTCTCCTCCCGGTATCCGCGCGAGTGAATGGCAGCGGAGTCTGCTGCGGTGCGGCCCACTGAATGAACACCACTCAGATTGCGAGTTACTGTCTTCCTGACGCACCGGTCACGTGGTCGGGGGAGGGAGGGGGGGCGTGCAGAGGTGCGAGGGGGCGGGGTAGTGTTCGGCGCCGCAGTGCGACGCCCCGCGCCGCGACGCCATGGCGGCCAGCACGGCGGCGCTGCAGCTCTCCAAGAAGATCTACTCGTCCATGTGCTGGACTCCCGGCCGCCTCTCCCTGGAAGAGGACGCCTTCCCTGCCTCCGTGAGTGCGCTTGCGCTAGGGACGCCGCTGTCCGTTAACGAACACGCCAAAATGGCCGCTGCCCTGGTTGCTCCTTGGCGCGAGGGTTCTCGTGGAATGTGACCACACAGCCAGAGATAATACAACTATTTTCACGACGGCAGAAAGCGAATTGCGGGGCGCTGTGCGTAAGTTTCTTCTCGTTGGCATATAGTCGCCAATTTGGCTGCTTAGTGTTTCATCCTTCACGGGACATTTGGCTTTATTGTCGTAAAATGTAACTAGTCAGCTGTGTATTATCGTCCGCAAAATATAAATTATGTGCGTTGTATAGTTTTTGTGATTTCCTTATCGCTGATATTTAGTTGTCAACATGGTTGGTAATTTCACCCGACACTGTAAATATGAAGAAAATGACTCAGATAAGAAGACATCTTTTAACATTGTCAAAAAATAAATTTTAAATTTTAAAACAAGTTATTTACGTTTTGTTGATATATCTCTGTCAATTTGCCTGCCAATTTCTCTATGACCTAGTACTGGAATATTTGCGATCCAAGATGCAACTAGCGTATAGTAAATAGGCATTTTTGAAATATAACGACATTCAGTACACACGAGCAAGTGCATTTATCACACCTCAGTATCTTTGGAGATTCCGAAACTGTAAGTCAACCTGGATATCTCTCTTGTCATCACCTGATATATGAAATCTTCGATTCTATTTTGGTAGAAAATTATGAAAAAATTCTGTCTATTTAGCATTATGATGTTCTATATTCAAAACTAATTTTTCAAGCACTGGAACTGCCGAAACGAACGAAGTATGAAGAAAAAATGTAGGACTATTCCAAAATAAAACACATTTTATCCAATAAAACTTTTAAAACAAATTAGTGAACTCGCATGTAAGATTTCATGAAATTACTATATAACATAACGTTAATATTCCAAATTGTTGAAATGTTCATTACGTACTTATTCTCTCTTTAAAAAATTAGACTTCGTTAATGCCAATTTACACGTTTGTTTGCTGTAGGTAGTGCTACTTAACACGTTAAGCTTTGTCTCTGAATGAGTCATAAACATTGGGGAAGGAACATTGAGATGAACATTGAGAATTTATCACAATAAATTTACGTAATTAGAAATATGGATGTCAGCAACAATGGGGGTACAGAAAAGAAAGAAGGTGAGCTTTATTTTGGAAACAATACAAGGAAAGGTCAACAGAATTAATAGTGGGGAAAATACGTAATATGTTAATAAATAATGCAGTGAAAAGAGACGTGAGAAAATTCCGTGGTGCAGAAAATAAATTAACAAGTTATTACGAGCAGGAAACCAAAGAATAAACAGATAATATATTGAAGTATGTGTGACCAATCAGGAGTTAGATGAGAAACAGATGAAGGGCGCGCGAGATGAAAAAACGGGACAGACGTTCTGACACGGTGTGAGTTAGATGTAAAAGGGAAAGCTATTTGATTGCGGGAAGAATTAGACTGAATCGCGAGTTTCTAAGGCGATGTGTAAGGTAATAAATGTACAATTAGAGAGGAAATATAATTTCGTGTGTGGAGGACGCGGACATCATTGGAGTCGACCGAATTCTTTGTAAATGTAGGCCGAATAGAAACTGAACGACGTTCAAGTTTCCGGTGGATCTCAGCAGGGTGGTTTCCGGTGGAAGCAGCAAATCGGGGACATCAATTTTTATTTTATTTGCCATTGTAGAAAGATAAAGTTTTGTATTACAGTAAAATTTCTAAATTAATGTTTACGAGATAATTTAGCCATGTATGAAAAAAAAGGAAGGAATTGGTAACGAGAATTAGATAATGAGAATAAGAGAATTCATGAAATAAAGAATGTGTGTACGAAAATTGTTATTGTTGTTTTCAAATATATTTGTATTATATATATATATATATATATATATATATATATATATATTTCAGAGCTTAATACATACATAATGAAAGGTTGATAACTGAAGTAAGTAATATTATTTATAAGTAAAAAGAAAAGAGCGTTCCCAATCCTCGTAAACAAAAAAAATAATTTACGTAAAATATTTCTCTTTCAAGTATCTGTAAAGACGGCCTATCAGACCCACACATACATAAATTTTTATCAAGACGGGGCGATCTTAAGAAAACCTTCGAGCAACAGTCGGGTGAAATGTGAAATTTGAAGTAGTAAATTCAGACGAATAATTAAACAAAAAGGTACCAGCAACGGTCTCCAGTCAGAATATATTTATTATATTGAGAGAAGTGCAGGGTTGAACTATTTGAATTAATTTTGTAGAATTTCGGGATATTCGGAAATATTTTCTATTCTCGGATTTAAATGTCAGAAGAAACCATCGCGACCGAAAGGGTTTCTGATTAAAGAATAATTTGATGTTTTAAAGTGAAAAAGGCACAACAGCCTAAATCAGTGAACCGCTAGGGCATCTTTTCTCGGTGACACCAGATTATTTGCAGGTGCGAAACAAGAGGAACAGTGCAACTTACCGTTTGAATTTCATTTCTCAGGGACATATTTACTGCTTCCCATTGATAAACCTACATTTGGGCAAACGATGAACAATCTTTCAAAAATGTGTAATTTTTTTGCAATTTTGATACATTGTTCCTTTTTGCCTGAAAGCGTTATGTCTCAATTTATTAATCAGTTAAAGGAAGCAATATTTTCAAAACGTTGCGGATCAAGTTTCTGTTAAATCTCAAAGCCGCTACGCGAAACCGGAACAGAATATCCTCATTTTATGTCGAATTTCCGCTCGTATTATGCAGTTTTGTCTTGCTCCTTATTCTTCATGTCTTCACCTCATTCTTCCTGTGGGAATGTTGACGTCAACAAGGCATCCGATCGGGGAGAAAAAATATTTGGCTTCACAATTACGAGCCTGATAAGGACAATTATGAACCGACGATCTTCTACTCTAATTGATAAAACCATCAAAAACGCCATTTCCTATTGCATTTTAATAATACATTGTTTGTTATGGTACACTCTCTACCTACACAGTTCACAAATAAAAATGTACTTGCCATATGAGCTGCTATGACAGTTTAATTCATTCCAATTACAATATAAGTGTTCATCAGTTTCCAAAATAATGCGCTAAATCAATTCCGAAGAAAATTGTACACATACATCCTGAACGTTGTCGGTAGAAATTAATACTTTGTGAAAATTTAATAAAATAATGCCCTCTTAATTTTCAATATATTTGATTCAGAATAAATGTAATCTGATAGAGGGTGCGTATTTAATCTACAAACCTCGAATACTTATAGTGTGCGTACTAGGTATGCGACATCTATGTGGACGATTTCAAAACATCGATTAATTATAAAATCATCGATGGATTTAACATTGACATTCTGAAGCCTATCGATGCCTTAAAATTATGGATATTTTGTGCTGGATGTTCGTGAATGGAAAATTCCTATAAATAAAATTTTATATCGAATGTTTAAAAACATCAATAGTTTTTGTCGATGTATATTATAAATATCGACGTTTTAATTTTGAACATGGACGTTTGGAAACATCGATATTTTTTTTATCGATGTCGCATCTCTAGTGGGAACGGGGCGCTTCGGGCTCCCAAGCGATGTGCCCCGATTCCTCAAGAGGTCCCCACGCTACCGCCCTTGAAAGCGCAGCGTACCGGCTGAGTTAGCTCAGAGGCAGCAACCCCGCAGCGACTAGGAACCGAATTTGAAGGAATCGAATTACGGCGGTGGGGTATAATCCACACTCGCTACTACATAATTAGCGGTTATCTAGAGAAGAAAAGTTTTCAGTGGCTTCTTCGATCAAGATTGGGCGAATGCCGAAGCAATACCCTAACAAATGGGCCAAGAACCACGTGCGATCTTTCCTTTCTTTCCCCAGTCCTATCCTCTATCATGTCATGTCATCTGTCTCCTGTCACAGACTCTTAACCTTACATGCACCACGCTACCACACGTCGGGAGACCAATGGGCTCTGAGCTGCTCTCGGCTGGGGGTGGGGGCGGACCGTTGAGAGGAGATACCTGGAGGCGGGAAGCTCGCATGCCGGATCTTACCGTCCACCCTCCATGTAGGTCTGTGACGAATCTTCATCCAGCGGGGGAGAAACACCGTCACTTCTCGGGATAAAAACATTCACTACACTAACGGGACTAATGATCGTATCACTTGATGTGCTCGAAAACGTTAGTCCATCATTAGACCGTGCGTCTCGCTCTCTTGAACGCAACTTTCCGCATAGAGGCTCCGCGCCAATAAGGGTCACCCCTTGCTCCTATGAATACGTTCTCCCTTGCTTATTAAAATCTGCTTGCCTTCGTTAAACATTTTTCCTAATATGTTCCACAAAATTCATTAATGTGTTTACATATTTTTTGAATATTTTATCCTTCAACAAATCCCACCAAGAAAGACACATTAGGATATCTCTCTGGCCAGATACCACGATTATTTACTGAATCATATTGTGTCTTCTTTTTTAACATCGATATTTGACAAATGCGTCATACAAATACCCTGTTTTAAAGGGCATTATTGCCTGTTACATACTTTGATTCCAACTCGAACATATCCCATTCCCTGTCAGCTACAGAGGGGAAGAGGAAAAGTTCATAATCAGCAATAAATGAAAAATGTTACATTTATGTGCCGGAGATACACCTCGACAACGGCATTCGGCAGCGGCATACGGCAACGGCAACGGCATACATCGCAGGGGTAGGAAACATGCAAGGCCTCGCCGAGCGATTTACGGCTCGAACTGATCGAACACCGCACAGATGTGCAGTAGACGTACTGAATAAATAAGATGTCACATAACATACATATTCGGTTCAGTAATAACGAAGGGAAAAATCGGGAGAGATGGCTCAGGGCATCAACTGATGCCATTGCAGTCCCTCTGACCGGGAGGTCCTAGGTCCGAGTCCCGATGGTGGCAGGTTTTCGACACTAGTTCGAATTCAGGCCAGCTAGGGCGAATTCAG